CATTCAGAGTGAGTTAATCCATACTCTGATAATTTAGATTTGTTAACTGCATTGATGTTGAAAATAGTCTGCTACAAATACACCAGTTTTGAAGATGATTTCGCTATGCTGATAGATAAGCCTCCTTTTAAACAAAGCACTGTCCATAACCTTATATTAAATGGGCTTGTATCGTATATCTGTTTTTCAGGTATTTTTGTTAGGCTCTTTTAAAACATTTAGATTATTAATCATTCTGCTTGTATTTGTATTACAGTATTTGCAAACCTGCAGAACCAAGGAAATGATTATAATTACTACTCTTGAGTCTGTCTTCCAGATGAACAGTTTCTTCTGGCTTAATTTAAAGTTAATAGGAATTAGTTGGGAATTTCATATTAGAAACCATATTTAAATTCTGGACTTGGCTGGGGGAGAAAAACAGATAGTTGTTTCCTGGTAAGAAAAAAGGTCTCATACAAATAAGAATGTAAACCAGTCACTGAATCAGCAAAACAGAAAAATGTGTGAAGAGAGAATTGTATTTAGGGCCAGCAACAGAATCTAAGTGCTCTGTGAATTATAATGATTAGTTACACTTTGTGTGTCCAGACCTAGAAAACAGCTGTGAAACTTCTGTGACATGATGAATATGGGCAGAGATGGATGAAATGGAAACTGCTGCTTCTCCATCAGCTGTAGGATGGTCATGCTGTACAGTTGCAAACTTTGCAGGCATCTAAAGCAAAGCTGATGTCAAAGACTGTAGTGGGGGACGGGGGTGAAGAAAAGTGTCTTCAGATTTTGCTGGTAGTCCTTGGTGAAGGCATCACAAAAAAAATTAGCCAAAATCAAAACTTCAGGAGGCCTACTAGATTAAAAGCCAGAGGCTCCCCTCCGTTTATGCAATTGGAAGGGAGTGAAAACCAATTGAAGAGGAGAGCACTGTCTCAGCCATACCTTTAATCTATGTCCATAGAACTACAATTGTAACGATTTATTTCTTTCCAAAAGGAAGGAGCAGGGGCATGGGGTTTGTCATCCAGGGCTCTGTTACTGGTCTGTTGTCCAGAGGGAATTCCAAGAATAAGTTATTCTGACAAAACATAATTAGTTCATGCAGGAGAGACAGCAGCTCTCAGGGAAGGGATCATGAAATCATAATACAGTTCAGGAGCGCAGGTGAGCACTGTACTTCTCTGACATACAGGTAGTATGGTATGAACAGTTTTGCTCAGTCAGGATAGATAACCTGGTCACTCCACTGGACAATAAGGCATAAGTTGGGTTTTTTGACTCTCCAAAAATTAACATAGGGGATGACACAAGGCAGAGCTTGTTCAGATTTTGTTTTATTTGCTTAAACCCAATATTCTTTCTTCCCTCCATTTTCTAGCATTTCTTATCTTTTCTTTCAGATCTTGCTTGAGTTTCTTAGTAGCAGTTTTTCACCTGTTTTTGCTACTGAAACACTGGCTAAGTAATCAATGTCTTACTCTAGTTGTCTAGACAACTAAATCAATCCCTATTGTATTTAGTTCTGCTCTTTAGTGTTGGAACTGCTTGCTGGGTATTTTACTATACACGGATATATTTGGGGTTTTTCACTTTTCTTGCTAGGCAGACAGTTTCTTGTTACTTGTAATCCTTTTATTTTGTGATCACCCTTCTTTCTTTCCGTGTCCTCTTCCTTCTGTAGTGGTCAAGGAAAAAAGGTTTAGGTATTATGACTAGGGATCTACTTAAACCATGCTGAGGTGAAGGAAAAATCTCAGTGCCACTTTTACAATCTTTTCATAATGAGTTGCCCCTCC